AATAATAATAAAAGTCTTTATTCCATCATAAGATAAAACTACATATCTTATGTTACAATGAATTTGGAAAAACTACAGAAATCTACATACATATTATGAATTAAAAAGTATGTCATTACAATAAATGGAGCTTAAATATCAACCTATTTACAAAGGTGTTCATAAAGCGCTGTGTATTAATTTTCGGGCGCGCGCAGCCTTTTTTCCTAAGATTGTGTACATATGTCTTTTGGACAGGAATGATGTCTTTCAGGGGGTGGCAATCCGTTGATTTTAGTTTCTTCAAAATGTTTCGGTCTTGTTTGTTTAAAAGGTTCTTGATAAAAACTGGAAATGAGATAAAACCGCGTTTATGACATCGGTCTAAAAAATTTTGTACAACCGTAAGATCGGACTCAGATGCCCCATAGACTGAAAGTGCATAGCTAAAATTAGCCAAAACAATGGATATAAAAAGATGATCAATCTCTGCCTGAGAGTAATGTTCCTTTCTCAATGTTCGTAGGACGTGTAAACACTTGTTTGCTTTGACAAGCTTAGTTCTTACATGCTCATCAAATTTTCCGTCACTCTGTAAAGTTACTCCTAGTAAAACGAAGCTATTACGTTGGGGAATATTACTAATTGGAGAGTAGAGTACATTATGATTTTTCTTTCTAACAACCAGCTCTTTACATTTGCAAGGGTTGCAGACCATTCTATTGTCTTTACACCATGTTAAGAACTGTCCTACTAAGTCGGCAGACGGGTCACTAATCCTAGTGATAGGCGAAAGAATAGTGGAATCACCGGCATATTTAAAAAGCACAGGGCAACCATTAAAAAAAATCTCCAAATCATTCAAAAATATATTAAAAGGATACGATCCGCTTACACTACCTTGTGTGGTCCCTCTATAGACAGATTTCCACTGTCCTGAAAAATTATAACTAACAACACGTTGTTGTCTTGCATAGAGGAAGCTATGATACCAATTGATAATGTACGGATTTAGAGGTAGCTGTTTCAGTTTGGCAGACAAAATAGCATGGTTCACAAAATCGAAAGCCTTACTGAAGTCCATGGTAAAAATTCGCACTGCGCTACAGTCACTACTATCTAAATACTTGTATGACTGGTGCTGGATAGCGAGCAAGGCATTTGTGCAACTACCAGCGTGTCTATATGCAATTTGGGTGTGGCTCAGGTTGTTCTCAATGACTGACTGTGCTTGTGTACGATACACGACCTTCTCGAACAACCGGGAAACAACGGGAGTAACATTAATACCACGGTAGTCTGAGTCCTCTATAGGCATATTCACTTTGGGGAGAGGATTAACATTTACCCTCTTCCAGGAGTCTGGCCATGTATGAGTAGACAGCGACAGATTCCAAACGTGAGTGACGATTGGTGTGAGCAGCTCAGCAGTCTTTCCAGATCCAGTACGGGAGGTCATCTGGTCCCATTGCCGTTTTCTTTACATGAACTAAGGTATTCCAAACACACCGCTCAGACATTTTCGGGGGCTTTACACTGTTCGGGATATCCGTATCAATAGGTCCAACGTAAGTGTCATCATAGCACACGTTGGCGAAGTAGTCGTTCAGACGAACTAGAGAATTCTTGTCCAAATTTATCAACGATGACCTGCGACGCTGCGACAGGGCGTCCACGCCCTTCCACCATTCACCGTTACCAATGACAGCCGGTTTTCTTCTGTTCTCGGTTATCAGCTCAGAAATGCGTTTATTAAATAAAGACAGACGTTCCATGTTGTTTAAAGATATACGGCACTTAGTCCTTAGCATACACTTGACTAATGGGGACATCCAAACTGGGTCACGCGATGACATGCGTACAACTTTTTGCGGCATAAATCTATTCATCACTGCACGAATCTTTTCCTCAAGCGCCTGGACCGCCTTGTTTATGTCCATCGCATTGAGAACGTCACTCCAGTCCAGTGTAGTGAGTGCCATATAAAATGACTGTTTCCGAAGTTCCCTACAGTCCCGCACAAGAACTTTGCGGCGCACAGGTTTAAGTTTTAATCCCGCCGGTAAAAGTTTTACCCCGCGTGGGAAAATCAACCATGAAATCCCAGCCAAACAAAGCCTTAGATTCTTGCATGTCCAAACGATTTACATCGCCACCACAGACAATAGCCGCTTCTGGGTGTTTGTTCAAAACAAGGTCCACAAAAGATATTATATAATTAATTAAGTCGATATCCCGGTAGCTATGCTTAGGAGGATTATACAGGCCGCAAATTAGCATAATGTGATCGGACGGCAACAGCACTGTCAAAGCAATAAACTCATATAAATTGGACCGATAGACATCCAAGACTTTAAGACTGTCTCTCACATAGACCGCAACACCCCCTTTTTTCCTTTTGTCCAAGTCTGCGCAACCTCTGTCCCGCCTGAACACATTGTAATTTGGGATATTCACCACGGCGTACGGCATATTAGTGGAAAGATGAGTTTCACTGACAATATACAAATCAATATCCTGAGATCTCAGGTCAGCCTCAAGCGCCACAGGTGCTCGTACACGACTTTTTGTTTTCGACAAGCCACAAATGTTCGTAAACAAACATTTTGGGACAGCGAAACCCTTTGATTTAGAGGTGGATGTTTTGTCAGTTGTGTTGACAAGCAGAATTTTAATTAAGTTACTTCGATCCACTTTCCGACCCCCAGCCTTGACGAAACGGTGGCCTTGAATCACCGGGATTTTCTTGATTGGGGTGGATCGTGAGATTCGAGCACCATGTTGCCTACGGTACTTCAGAATGCCGAGTGACTTGAACTGAGATAGAACGACCGAAGAGGGCTTGAAAGCTTTGTTTCGGAGAGACAAGAGTTCAGAGCATTTGAAAGACGCTGGCTTAGTTCGCATTAGCATCGGGTAGTTCTTATCAACTCCTCCGAAACTCCTGTCTGTCTCTGGACCCGGTTGTGACTCGACGTCCATATCTATAGTGATATCTAGCGTGATATATTTCTCCGGTACTGCAAGCCACAACACCACCGGCCGGCGAACTCTAAATTTAGGAGTAGTGGACTTGGATAAATTATGTTTGAGAAGCCAAGGACTTTCAGCTCTCCAAGAGTGATAATTGTAGGATTCTTGGGCAGCATTCAAAACGAAAAGAACACCAAAAATGGTAAATAGGCGAAGAGCTCCAGAAAACGTGGCAGCCATGTTGGCGCCTTTACATACCTTACATAACTGGTCTTTTTCATGATACTGCAGATTCTTGAACAACAACAAGTTAAAGAATTTGTCCTCTGATCAACTTCCTTGCCGGGCTGACCTGTTTAACAACCTTACAAAACGGTAAGTGTGGTGGGTTTAGAATTCAATGTCACTTTTTAATTCATACCCAACACACTGGAAATAAATAGCCTCTTAAGAACGTGTCTCTGTAAGAATCAAACATCTTGGGAAATGAAAATTTTCAACCCTCCCTTAAATTTTGCATGCAGTTAGGCACTCAGAAGAGATGCACAAAAATGCCCTTTTTTAAAAGTTGCAGCACTCTCGTTGCCATGGCAACACGGCTGCTTGTTCGAGGCCTGGGGCCTCATTTTCATACAAAATCATCGCAAAAAAGTGGAAAATGTTTATTTCTCTATCTCAAGCTAAATAGAACATAACAGATTGGTACTTCTAGCATACATAGTGACATTATTCGTCTTTACTTTGATACATTCAATTTTCCCTGGGAGTGAATGTGAACACACCAATAGATTATTTATCTTGGTACGGCTTCGGTCATTTTTACTGCAGGGTAAAACAGCGAAAACGTTTGTCTAAATTTCTCAAAAAGTACACCGATTTTGGAACTGAAACTACGCACTTAGTTGGTTATAATATTCTAGTTCTTAAATATGTAAAAATCTCTGCGGGCCGGCCTCTACTTTTCATAGTGGCAATTTACGAAGGAAGCTCAAAATTCAGATATTGCATAAATTGGCAATGTTTACATGTAATGTTCTCAACAAGAAACGTTTCAGACAAATGAAAAGTGCAAGACTTTGAAAGAAGGTTATCTTCTAATTAATATTCCGAAGAAAAATCTCCCCTCTAGCTTTAATATTTAAAAAAAAAATTGATCAACCTTTATGAAGGACTACTCGACGTCACTACAAACATGTACTTTAAGTCGTGTGCATATTAAAACCCACCACTCGCGCAAAAACTATCACAAGGTGGACATTTTGAACAACTCAGTATCCCCTCATTACAGCAGATGGAGCAGGGATTTTATCACAATCATTTCCCAAAGATTTAGCTTTTCTCAGGGAATCTTTTGCATTCTTGAACATTATTTGGCTTTGAGCCTTGAAAATTCTCTTATTGATAATAAAATGCTCTAATAAGTGCCTACAAAATTACAAAGGCTCTTTTTTTCGGTGTCGCACCGACCGAGGAGTACAGATTTGTCACTGATGAACCAACAGGCACAATCTTCTCAGTTATTAGCTTGATAATCTCCACAACCTAACCTTATTGGACTGAACGATCTCCTTCTTCTTCCTGGTAAGCTGGCCACCTCAGGGGAAAATTAAAGAGACCTTTGACTTCCTGCCGTGTAAATTACCGGAAGATTGCGTTATATTCATCTTTCTTTAAGCTTATAAAAGATATCCGGGAAAAAATTGTGGAAAATAATCGTGATGAAGTCGCTGTTCTGTTTCCTGAAGAACCTGAAGCAATCCAGATTACATATTAACCATGGGGGGTTTCAGTCCAGTTACGAGTTGCGCTTTGCGTGTGGATAATGAGTAGATTGAAAGGTGGAATTATAAGACTATCATTTCATTGAATCTTTCATTTCGAACTTTGTTTTGATTTTTTCTTGATCAAGACATGGAAAGAGACATTGACTGACTCGATTGTACTGTGGCGGGGATAAGTCTCTCGTTATCATATCTTATGCAAATTTTCTCACAGTTTTCTAACAGTTTTCAGATGATTCGAGATATCTCAGATTCGAAATATCTCAGTTCCTGTCACCCGGAAATGACAATTGCCCGAACCTGCTCTTTGTAAGGAGAGGCAATGTGTACTACAAATTGTTATTGTGGCAACTGGGTTTTATATGTAGTACTACCGCTGACAAGTTGTGATTTACACTTTCACTCTCAATGTTTACGAACGTTCGATCAAGGTTTTCCTTTCTTTTTTTGGTTGTTTTTACCTCAGAATGCGTGGAAATCTACTCAAATATCGAAAAATTTCCATTTATCGTCTTCTTTGGAGCGACCTGATGGAAAATTTATGGAGAAATCCAGCTTCACGCCACCTTGATAACGTACATGTTTATGACAAATGACCGGTGTTACGATAGTTTCGTGTAGATCAGCCAACTTTAACAGATTTCAAATGACAGACAAGTATAACAATGTATCGTCAGAGGATTTCGGATTGCTCAAATTCCCATGAAAGAGGGTACAGTACTCGGAATCTGGATAATATGTACGCGATTTAAGGTACATGTTTGTAGTTACCTCGAGTAGTCACTCATGAAGGTTGGTCAATTTTTTTTTTTAATATTAAAGCTAGAGGCGAGATTTCTCTTCGGGATATTGCTTAGAAGATAACATTCTTTCAAAGTCTTGCACTTTTCATTTGTCTGAAACGTTTCTTGTTGAGAACATTACATGTAAACATTGCCAATTTATGCAATATCTGAATTTTGAGCTTCGTGCGCGAATTGCCACTATGAAAAGTAGAGGCCGGCCCGCAGAGATTTTTACATATTTAAAGCTAGAATATTATAACCAACTAAGTGCGTAGTTTCAGTTCCAAAATCGGTGTACTTTTGGAGAAATTTAGACAAACGTTTTCGCTGTTTTACCCTACAGCAATAATGACCGAAACCGTATCAAGATAAATAATCTATTGGTGTGTTCACATTCACTCCCAGGGAAAATTGAATGTATCAAAGTAAAGACGAATGATGTCACTATGTATGCTACAAGTACTAATCTGTAATGTTGTATTTAGCTTGAAAAAGAGAAATAAACATTTTACACTTTTCTTACGATGATTTTGTATGAAAATGAGGCCCCAGTCCTCGAACAAGGAGTTGTAACCATGGCAACAAGAGTGCTGCAACCTTTAAAAAGGGCATTTTTGTGCATCCCCCCTGAGTGTCTAACTGCATGCAAAATTTGAAGGGGGATTGAAAATTTTCATTTCCCAAGATGTTTGATTCTTACAGACACGTTCTTAAATGTCAATTAAAAAAATACAATTACAAGGAACTCCGATAGTTTTATGTACATGGTATTAAACTACACAAGAAACACATATCAGCTCCAAATCATGGAACACTTATTCGTTATCATTTAAATGGTGCATCTTACAAAGTGTGCCTAACCTATTTATGAAATAATGCAGACCTTCACTTTCAATATCTTCAAGTATGATAAGTTTTTCAACGTAGGAGCGCTTAAAAATTTCTGAGGACACCAGAAACCGACTTCTTTACTTTTTTTTTACTTTTCATGTTGCCCGCATAGTCCACCATCTCCCAAGCCAGGGGGTTTATATTTATAAGCTGTGGCCTTTTTTTAGGCACGGAAACAATTTATCCAATCGGCAAAGTTTCTGCCTATAATGATTGCCTTCTTCTTCCAGTTCCGAATCAACAGCACATTAAAAGAAACAAAATTGAGCGAAATTGGTACTAATTTTTTTTTTGTTCTTGAATATAAGGAATTTGCCCTTATCTCAACGGACTCACTGGAAACAGAGGAAATGCACATTCGTAAACTTGTAAGTGTGGTGCGTTTGGAATCCAATTTCACTTTTCAAAATTCGTAAATATAACAAGTCTGAAGTTCCAAAATCAACTGGAAATAGATACCTTTTTGCAAAATAGCAGTAAAGGAAAAACGCAATAACCACGACCTCAGAAAATGTTTACACACAGTATTAACGGCACGATGAATTCAGATCAATTCTTAAACTTGGAAGATTTATTTGGTAATCCAAAAAATACTGTATTTTGGTGGTGTTCCTTACCTACTTATAGAATATTATAAACTTTCACCTATTACATTTGTAGGTACATGTATGATTACTTTTGCATTGTAGTTACAAAAAATTATTTGAGCTGCATATTTCTTTTTTATTTTTTATGAGAACCTTTTGAACCAGAATCTTTCTAGTGCTATGCCAGGCTAATACGAAGATACTTCCAAACTACTTACAATCCGTAATATCTATGTCAGCGGACAACAACCAGAATTTTAATTTCATTTTAGATCATTTTCTGCATTATTTTCTGCCATGAGATTGTGGTCTTTGTAGTCGGGAGTGAAAAAAAACACTAAGGCATTGAAACTTAGAGCTCTTCGACTTTATATTTATGAAAATGAATGTAATGGCAAACACAGAACCCTGGACTTCAATAAACTGGAGACGCTGCCAAGTGGCTTATTCAAGGCTCATAAGTTATATGATCTGTGAGTAAAGTTCTCTGATGCTCGCCGCAATGGCTCCCACTACTTGGACTAACACGGTATCCGCTAGATCTAGGGAACCTTCTTTTCCTGTTCACTTTATTCCCAATTTCATCCTTGATAACTGTAAATGTTTTCGATTTTTTAAAGCATATAGACCGTATACAAATGAAAAAATATAGCAAACGGTACTAGTAAGTGCTGAAAAGAATCAGTGAAAAAATGAGTAAAAAGAAAACACAGGAAGTAAATCCTTGGTGCAGCTTGTCCCAATCCTCCTCCTTCCGCACCTCGCAGAGCTTAGACAGCTTACGAACCAAAAAGATCAAACTTTATATAAAAATAGTTTGAGTATCGTTCCTTAATGTCTTCATTTATTTCCATGGATTAAAATCTTCTGGATTGTAATCAATTAATGAAAGTTCAATTTAGTCATTGATAATACCGAAAAGTTAAAATAACCTTTTTAAAACGTCTCTTTGTAATTCCCTTCATTTGAAACAAATTGTGGAATTCTTGTAAATGCTAATAATTTTACAGCTGGCTGGGAAACAACAACTTGAAGACATTACCTGAAGATCTGTTCGAAGGGCAAACTAAGTTAAAATACTTGTGAGTAAAAATCGTCTTTTGTAATAATGATCCATTTGGAGAGAAAATAACGGTTCTCTTTGCCTGCTGACGGGGACATGAACATTTGTAGAGAACTTCGTAAACACATTTTATCGTTGGTCCCAAACGTCTGGTACTTGACTAAGAGTCTCTGACTCGCTTTGGAATTCTTAGGAACATACTTCAGTGACGCACCGACTTAATTATCTGGCGTCAAATGGAGTATTAGAAGGGATGTGAAGGAACTCAACCGATTTTACTTTACCCTTGAAATGTCTGGCCCAGTTTCTCAAGTTCACATCTTTTCAGAAAATCTCTTGAAATGGTCAATTTGTAGCCTAATTTTCACTGTTTCTTGAATTTTTTAATTTCATATCGGTTAGTTTGAGTGTTTTTAAGTGTTTCTGTATTTAAAACCCTAGGCGTTTGGTCGGCAACCAGCTTGAGAAGCTACCACACAACATATTTTATGGATTGGCCAACCTGAAGAAACTGTAACTAATATTATTTTTAGTTGATCTTTCTCAACATAATCAGGTTTAAGTACTAAATTAAAATTTGCTCTGTAATGCGCTGTGTAGATGCACAAACTGAGCCTTGGAGTTGTAACGAAAATTGGTCGTGGTGCGTGACCATTCATATGATTATGATGCAGCAAAGGAGCCTTCTTAACCTAGCTAAAAATGGTTGTTTGAACAAATGTTTGCGATGACCTCGAAAATTTCAGAAATTAGTAAAACTTTCGAGGCAATGATAAACATGTTAAAGAAAAACTATTAGTAGGTGTTAAAATTTACAGAAAATAAAATTTGATACATTTCAAATCCGCTTGTTCTCCTTTCTGGTTTCCTCCCTTTTTCTTGTAATTAACACATTTCCATAAAAATTACAAAACATCTTGTCGTCAGGGACCTATCTTATAACAAGTTGTCCAACTTGTCTCGAGGTGTTCTCAGCACAAACACTAAGCTGAAAGAATTGTGAGTAGCGTTATTTTTATTGATATACAGTTACATCTCTTTTTAATTATAATCCACTTTTACCTTGGCTTTCAATCATATCAGCCATTCTTGCCTCCACCTGAGATACTCTTAGAATGCTCAACAGATGGTGTTTTTTCATATATAAAATTAAAAGAAACTCTGATTATTTCCTCGCAAAGAGAGCAATTTCATTTTACTGAATGGAATCAATTTAGCCATCTCGTACAATTTCTCCGTGTTATTGATTCCTTACCTCTATTCAGGGTTTCTAGGCGCTACTTCATAAGCTAAGTACATACAAGTAAAAGGGAGATTACAAAATTTCTAACCCCAACTCAGCACCACCTGGTAGGGTGAGGAAGAGGACTTACTGAGATTTCTTCAACAACTAGCTCAGTCTTTATTCCAATTACTATCTGAAGGGATTTGTCAAACAACGGGATGAAGCACTTGCCCCAGGATGTTTTTGGTAACCTAACTCGGTTAAAAGACCTGTAAGTGAAAACATCAACTTATCCTTTATTGATAAGTTTAAGTTTGCAGGACATCTGAAAAAGATGCTTTAAGAAAACCAAAGCTGACGTTCCAAGTAATGACTCTTAAGGCTTCACAGATAATCTTTCCTCGATACTCTCGATGCACATCTACAAATTTTAACTTTTAAGGAGAGAAATTTTCAATTAAAATTAACCACACGCATACTTAAAGGGAAAAGTAACGTTGGATGGTACAACCCCTGTGTTTTATGTGCCGCGGAAACGCTTGGATAGTTGTTGACCACCTCATTTTTTTTAATGGATTTTTGCCTACTCAATCGAGCTGGCGTATCCCTGGATAGTTCTGGTTTACCTTTCAATACCTTGTAAGAATGCCAAGAGTAACATGAATGGTATTTGCAATGAAAATCGATATATGCTTAGATTTTTGTGCGTGTGTTCTTCAGGTGATAAAATCCGTCTTTCTTTATCTTTCAAGGGCTGTTCATGACAACAATATCGAATATCTGCCGCGTGGAGTTTTTAAGGACACGAAACAGATTATGTCTATGTAAGTATCATGTTAAACTTAATTGATGAACAAAATTACTTCCAAAAACGGTGAGACTCTCATAAGAAATTTTCAGCGGAAAAAGTACGAATTGCTTTTCATAATAGACTGAAGGACACTAAACGAGACCTGAATTAGTGCTATCGCAAAGGAAATCATATAGTTCTAAGCCCTTTGGAAGTTGCCGTTTATGTCTTCACTTTGCTGCGTGTGCAAACCTCAGATATTATGAATGTATTGATTGATGCAATCAAATGCTATTATATACCACCACACTCAATAATAGACTCTGCTTACTCTGCATCTACATGTATAAGCTTACAAAAACCACAGAGATTATAACGACCAGGATTTTCTGACATCCGAAATGGCTGCAGACACACTTTGACAAGAAAAGAATGATCACCGTAGCCTAGGTTCTCCATCCGACTCGTTAGTTAGCATTGTGCAACAGTGGAATGACGTATATCCAACGGGGTAATCTTAGCAACAATAGGTTTGAGGTAAAATAAACTTAATGCACATGTAAGACCCATCTCATTCAGTGCGTGGACACCAAGGTAAATGGGAGATCATAGGAAGTACAGGAATAAATTTTAAAAGTTCAAAAACTTAATTAGTAGGAGGCCCGGTTCCTTCAAGATACTAACAAAGGGTATGCCGTCACGTACCTCACAAGATCAAGTCTATAATAATTTAGGAAAAAGCCTTTCGGCACTTGGAGTAAGCATGAGTTCAGGCAAACCAATCACAGTTAACTGATGTTCTTTAACGGAGTCTTTAGCCATGTGAAGGACCTCTTTACTACTTGCCTAGTATCAGTTCCGAGGAATTTTTTTTTCGTACCATCATATACTACACAAAACGTTGATGTTATGGAGGTTAACTTTAAAAAAAAAAAGGCCAAATTAAGTTAAAGTAAACAGTTTCCGAAGGATATTATAATCTGCGCTTGACATGTACACTTTTTATTGGTTTCTCCTTCTTTAGGAGCTTTCATCTGAACAAAATCACTGAAGTAACTAATGAACAATTCAAAGATGTCGCGCCGACAATTCGGTTCTTGTGAGTATGAACCAACTGAGTCTTTTCAAGGCGTATACGAACTCACAGAACTCCATAACTAATTCCAGGAAAAACTTAGATTGATTGCGAATTGAAAGTATGTTGGTAAAGTAAATACACCCATGCCTGCGTGATTAGTTGACGATTAACTTGTCACGAATCTGGAAAAAATGGGATTACTCTGTAATAACAGAGGCGTTTGTAACTCACTTTTTCCAATCACTGAGTCCTCATTACTCAGTCTCCTTCTGTTTAGGTTTATAACCTTTCGGTACCCGATAATTCTTGGAAAAAAGAGCAGGGGAAGTAGGAGGCGACCTCCCAGTAACTGATACAGCAGGTTGAAGAGATCATTGTCGGTATCACACGAAGAAGCATTGCTAGTTCAGGTGAATTGCTTTCTTCTAACTCGCAGGTACTTTCATTACAACAAGATGCGGGAACTACCAGAAGGTTTTTTCTCTAACATGAAGGAGTTAACAACAGCGTAAGTCAATCAAAGTATACTCTCGGTGCCTAGTTGAGGTGATTTATTAGAATACCTGTAATTTCCTCAGCACGCATTCTCCTGTGCAGTTCATTAATTTGATCTCTTTCTCTGAACCTCAGGACTTTAGACACCGACCTAATGTGTTGTCACTTGAAGAAAGATGACGCAGACTGCGATTTTACCTACGTCGACAGCTTTGCCAGTTGTGAGACTATGTTCAGAGATCGAGCCCCAAGAAAGTGTATTTGGGTTATTGGTATCATGTCTCTGATTGGAGCTGTGTTTGTCATCACATGGCGAATGTTCTACAGGCAGAGAAATATTGCACAGCCAATCATGTTGATGCACTTGGCGGTATCTGATGGGTTAATGGGTGTTTACCTAATAATCATAGGTTGGAAGGATGCCATTTGGGCAGGGCAATATTACTTTCATGACTTTAAGTGGCGATCAAGTTTGTCATGCCAGATAACCGGTGCAATCGCTGTGTTGTCAAGCGAGGTGTCAATAATGCTTCTTTCTCTGATCTCTGCTGACAGGCTTAAAAATATTGTGTTCCCTTTCTATGTTGGTGGACTAACCAACAAAACCACTCACGCGTTGTGCTTTAGTATCTGGATTATCGGTTTCATAATTGCTTTTCTTCCCACTTTTGGCATCCAGTACTTTGAAACCCCTAAAGGTCATTATTTTTACGGAAGATCTGTTGTATGTCTCCCACTTCAGCTCTCTCATGATAAGGCACCTGGTTGGGAGTATTCTCTGGCTGTCTTTGTTGGCTTGAATTTAGCTTTTTTGACCTTTGTTATTGTAGCTTATCTTGTAATACTTGTAAACAGATGTCAGGTTCAGGCAATGTCAGCCAATACCCAGCGAGAGACAGCTCTTGCTAAACGGGTGTTTTTCATCATCCTGACTGACTGCATCTGCTGGATGCCCGTTATCGTGATTGGACTCAGGTCCATCGCGGAGAAGTCGTTCAGTACAAGAGGAGATCTTGCCGTATGGATCGCCGTGTTTGTTCTTCCTTTAAACTCCGCCATCAATCCAATCCTATACACCTTGTCCACCACACAGGTAATTATCTCTTTAAAATTTGTAACTTCTTGTAACATTATCATAATCATGAAAGATCTGCTACTTCATCTCACTTGGCACACGTTATGTACCACTGAAACACATCACCGAAACATAAATGAAAAGATGGTAGCCTACGATAGTCAACTCTTGAACAACTGACGAAACCAACAAGGGGAGAGAAGGAAGAACTAAGAATTTAACCTTTAAAACATTATAAGGTTCTAAACAAAATATGCATTAGAGAATTCATTGCATGTATGATGGATTTCACATTACCTATATTTTTTTGATGTAAAGTAGGATATTACATTACATATAGTGTTTTGGTATAAGGTAGAATTTTACCAATCACCCCACTAGTTACTAGATCAACAACCTTGAGTAAGCGTTGTTAAAAAGATATTTTGTAGATTTAAAGTAATAGCAATTTAAGTTGAATATCCTCAAATACAGATAAATTTAAAATCCACAGGCTTAGCTTGAACAAAACGAAAACGAATACGTTCTGTCACATTAAAACTTAGAGATACAAAGCCATCTAGCATGTCCGTCCATGGCGTTTGGATATTATCAATCTTAAATATGTTAAATTCAAAGTAAGAAAACTTTTCTGTCGCAAATATAGGTTCGAGATGTTCTCAAAGGAAAATGGCAACAGCTGTGCAACTATTTCAGGGCAAAGTGTAGTCGAACCCAAACCGGAGAAGGTATAGGCCTCCGCTGATGTTTTGCTTTGGCTCATACTCACCAATTAAGATGGCAACTCAATTCTGTCTTACTTTTCTATTTAAGGCGTTAGTGATCTGGGTCAAGGTCAGGCTTTGAAGATGAGGACTTTCGAAGCTGCTGGAGGGGGAGAGGGTAGGTGAACCAACAAAAGAAAGATATATTGGTTTTACTTTGTTTGTTTAACGATCCTTTGCTTTGTTCATTTAATGCCCTTTTGGATCTATACCCCAAACATTGACTTCAGTAACCATTAGCATTGTCTTTTCCCAATGGGTGTTTCTAAGAAGAGAGGAAGATAATATGCATTTACAAATGTAGTGTATGTTAAACCAATACTGTTGGCCATCTTACCTATCACATCTTTGACGATATTACAAAATCGTTAGAAAATTTTATCGGAGAAAACCAAATAGAGAAAGAGGCTAATTGACCATTTCACCTTTGTAAAAAACAATAATCTGGACTGTTCTCTATGATTCTAAATCACTAAACATGCTTTACAGACCGTAGGAACGAATGTGTAGAACATCGTGTCTACCATGAACAAAATGAAGACAAAAATAAAGATCATAAAGAAAATAAGAAGACTCGAAATGAGCCAAAAAATCCGAAATTCGGGCATGCTGAGAATGAAGAACCCACCGGACAACTTCCAAATGATCATAATGGTATTTGAGCCACAGAATGGTCTTATTTCTTTCTCAAGTCTCATTTACAATAAATAAATAAATTCGTCTTTATTAAAAAAAACCATCCGATAAAATTACGTATCTGATGTTAAGGTAAAAATATATATTGATGGGAAAAGTTACAATGATTAAATCGAATAAAAATGATTAGAAATACACATGGGGTGTTTACACAGCTAGAATATATTTAAAAATTAATCTATTAAAAAAGCTATGTTTAAAACGTTCAGGGTTGATGCTGGGCCTGACAATGGATTTCCTTCGAATGTTTATAATATAGTCTTTGTACCTTGGGAGTAGGCTTTTTAATGGATGGTCATCCTGTTTGAGGTTATAAAAAAGGCGTCTGTCGCTTTTCTCCAATAGTTCATATATGTTGTAATTGACCGACGTATAGCGCCTCTTATAGCATCTTTTTAAAAACCTTTGCATAACAGTAAGTTCGGAAACACTTGCAGCATAAACTGAAAGACCGTATAGTAACTTAGGGATCACAATTGAATTAAAGAGGTGGTCTATTTCATCTTGTGTATATCCTTCTTGACGTAGGCTTCTCATGATAAATAAACACTTTTTGGCTTCATGGAGCTTGGCCTTGACATGCATGCTGAACTTACAATACCTTGAAATGTGACGCCCAAAAAAGAAATGTTATTATATTATTTGATATTGTGAGACATTGGGTAAACTGTTGAATTGCCTTTCTTACGCATAACTAGCTCCTTACACTTACTAGTGTTACAATGCATGCCGTTTGCAACAGTCCAATCCATAAACTTGGACAAGGCAATGTCAGATATATCCGGGGAATCTTTAATGATCGTGACTAAGACGGTTGAAAAGTCTACATACTTATTAAGGATATATCTTTGTACCCATCTATCTCTAGGTCATTCAAAAATATGTTGAAAAGATATGGGCCACTGACACTTCCCTGTGTCGTTCCCTTGTTGACAACTCTCCACTAGCAAGTCAAATTATTGAAAATCACCCTTTGTTTTCTGCCTGCAAGAAAGTTGGCGTACCAGTCAACAATGCATGAATCAAGTGGACTGCGTTTCAGCTTTTCAACTAGGAGATTGTGTTTAACGTTATCAAAGGCTTTTGAAAAATCCATCGTAAACATTCTCACCACTAAGGTGTCCCGTCTATGCAATGCCGCAAGAAATGTATGCTGCATTTTCAACAGAGCGTTTACACAACTTCCACCTGAACGGTACGCAAATTGAGAGTGATTCAGATGTTGCTCCAGGCGCCTCTTGTTAAAAATGTTATATACTGTTCTTTCAAACGTTCTGGCAATAACTGGAGTAACATTGATTCCTG